TCCTTCTTTTGAAATCCAGGATCCATCTCCACATACCTATGTTTCACTCCCTTTGTAAATAAACCCCAACTATTAATAGAAAATGATGCCATATTTTCGCTTCTCTTTTTTCGCTACTATTTGAAAGTACTCACAGAAGTCATTGAGGAATTGGCGGGCTTATAAAAAGATAAAACAGAGTTTGCAACAATAGTAAAAAATATATTTAAAAAAAAAACACAAAATACTATCAGTTGTAAGGCTAAACGCCCTTCTTGTTTTCAGCATATAATTATGAAAAGTGAAACGAGCAAAATAAAGCCAATGTTAGTCTCGGTGCAGCAAAAAAAACAATCTTATTACATGAGCATGTATGCACATATGGCAGTAGGAAAACTGATCTTGTATAAAAGAGATATTTGACTAAATAACAGTTTAATCATCAAATATCACGTGGAGCAAGAAGAAGTAAAGAAATTGATCACGTGATCAGTGGCTGTCAAATATGTATGAAAAACTGATTGACGGAATGCAGTTGTCTAATTATTTTAGTAGAAATTTAAAAACACAAAAAGACAAAAAGTTGAAAGTAGTTTGAGTAGTTTGCATTTACGTTTACACGAAGTATTCTTTCGAATGAAGATGAATTAATTAACTGAGGGCTGTGTCGGAAAAGTGAGTGAATCTGTTAAAAACATAATGCTCCGTTTCGTATGAAGGTATTAAGGCAAAACCGACAACAGAAGATTTTCGCAGGAATCTGAATGCGCATTTCCAGATTGCCTCCAAAATGACTTTGATTTGTTTATGATCTGCAAGACTTTAAATATTTTCTCAAGATCTAAAGTAGTTGACCATGTTACCAGAAGTATTCAAAAGCGTAGTTATTTCTTTTTTAACATAGAAAGAAAAACAGAAGATATAGTTTGAAAATGATAACTGGAAAAGAGAATAGGAAGTAACTATAGAATAAGAGACGGAAGAAGAGTGAATGAGAGCAAGAAAGGGAAAAGAGAAACAAAAAACAGGTGTCGAACAAGAGAAACTTTAAAGCAATTACATAATTTCAAAACTAGCGTCTCTAATCCTGGTCTAACCGTATGTTTAGAAGAAATGAAGTGAATCAAAAAGACGGATTATTATTCTGCAAAAAAAATGATTTGATGCACCAGAAAACGAACGATTCTCGGCATCTTCCTATTTGAATACAAGCTCACAAGATTTTTTCTTCTTCTTTGTTTAGCGTTTGTAATGGCGGTTTGTGGATTTGTGAAGACCGACCGTGTGCAGGGACATGTTCCATCAGAGGCCGTAATACAATCAACACATTCGATCGACTGGAATACAGAATTGAGCCTGTTGCATGTGGTTATACTCTTGTACAGGTAAAATTACTTAAACACATTCTCTATTCATCAGTCGCAACTTGCGAAAAAAACTTGGCATCGAAACATTGTCTGTACAAGGACAAACTTTTTGTTCAATGAAATACTTTCAATACGTTTTCGTTCAAAAGGCGCAAATGATTTATAATTTAACTAGCCCAGTATCCATAAAAATGACAAATTTAATATCAACATTTATGCCAAAAATCAACTTAGAATTTGTCTAAGATCAGAGATTAATATATGTTTTTCTTCTTTACAGTTTGGGTCCCTACATTAAAATCTTCTCTGTCTTCTACATTAAAATAGATATATGTCACATTTGCGCTCATCGACCTTCTGTGATTAAAGTGTAGAATAGGTTCATCTTCTCTGTCGTCTTTCCATATCAAGGTTCCGTAATTCCGGTTTCAGGCAGTTCATGACAAACCAATAAAAGAAGCGTAAGGGATACCAACCCTGCGGCAGCACTCCCACACCATTACATCAGAGGATCGGATTATTCTGTTAGAGTATAGTAAAGTGTTTTAAACATAAATATTACTGTGCTTAATATATGCAAATATTTGAAATTCAAGCTTAATTGGTTATTTTCAAGAGCAGCTTTCAAATTCTGTAGGCCTACAAAAATATTCATGATACGGTGGTAACGGAATTTGCATAAATTAAATTTCACCTAAAAGAGTGTTGATTACACCAGTAAGCCTAACATATGCCCAATTTCTTTTACTTGCCTGATGTCACCAGTAGGTTGCTTTATTTCGATAAAGAAATTAAGAACATTATTATCAATGTTGTGGTATCCTCCCTCTAGGGAGTCTGTATTGGACTCTTCCGCCTGCTGGTGAGAGAGAAGGCCTTGAGAACAGTCGAATAGACTGAACGCTGGTCAACCGACACACACTCACTAGTCGTGTAATACTTTTCTGTTGTACTTACTGTTTGATGTATATCTGTAACACTTGTTTTGTTATTTCTGTAACCATTTACTTGGTCACAACAATCAAGAACCTACTTCTTCTTTTATGGGCCATGTCCCTTCAGGACGTAGGCAATCATGTCCCTCCAACTCTTCCTGATACTTGTAGCTCCTAATAAGCTTTGTCTTTTTGTTATTTCACTCAAACCCTGTTTTGCCATTTGTTTGCTCAAGTACGTTGCGCGCTACGCTCCTCTTTCCCTCAATCTGCCCCGTGAGTATCAGGTTTTCTAAGACCTCCTTCCTCATTACATGCCCCAGAAAATGCAACTGCCTCTTCCTGCTGTTAAGTATGTTTCTTTTTTGTTTCCATTCTCTCCATTGTTGCTCACATGTTCTATCCTCAGCATCTTTCTGTAGATCTATATTTCTGTTGCTTCAGATCTCTTCATCATCTTTGAGATTGCCCAGCATACGCTGCCATAGACGAGTACAAATATCAAATTTTAAAATTATCAACACGACAGATCTAAATACAAAGCGAGATGTTTTCGAATATGCAAATGAGATTTTTAACTGATTTTTTAGCAATTACTTCATTAGCTTTTGGTGTATTCATTGGTTTTCACTTGTTTTCTTGAATCTCTATAAAATAATAAAATGCTGTCAAATAGACATCAATTCTTTGATTACATTGTGGATTTACATGAAGTTACAATGGAAATGTGGTGCGAAATTTCATTTTTATCTACCTAATTATAAATCTTATCAGTTTTTAGTTTCAATTTTTGGTAAATTCTCGACGAATGTTAATGTAATTGAAATAATACAAATGTTCTAGAGCTGCGTCAAAATCTGTTAAGCAACAGACGACATATTTAAAGGTTTTTTACCCATACTTTTCAAATTGTTAGTCGAATACATTTTCAGATTGTTAATTCTCTTTTATAAGGAAATTTATTTGTTTAAAATATTCATTTGGTATTTTAAACAGTCGAAAACATTAATAAATTTTAATTAAGAAATAATGAAATATAATAACCGATAGTAATGGAAAAATTCAGGCGAAAGTTGTTTTTTGTCTACTTATGGGCCAAAAAGTGATTTAAAATGAGTGCATGCAATTGTTCGTTATTTTCTTTTAGGTTTAAAGAAAATTATCATTTAAAAAAAAATTAGTGAAGAAAAACTTTCAATTAATTTATTTAATTTTTTTCGATCTGTTATAATTCCAGAAAAAGGGCCGAAATGATAATTCGCTGAAAATTGTTTTGGAGTTTGGACAGTGCAGTAAACCATTTCTTAGTAGTTTCAACTGCTCGATTGGCTTGCAAATAACAACAAGAAGTTTATCCATCAAAATCACCAAAAAAGGATTTTATATCAATGGCGAATATAACGGAAATCTTGCTTTTTTCAGTAAAGACTTAACCATCAAACGGGCTTCATCTCTATTTTATCTTGTTGAAGGAGCAGAATTTCGTATTCTTCATAATCCTGGAGCACATACTTATATAAAGCTCAATCCCTCTTATAAGACATCGGTAAGAAGTTAATTAATAAAAGTTACATTTTGCTAATTCATAAATTAACATTTTCCCAAGTAAAGAATTAATTTATTTAATATTTTCTGATATTTCTTTATGCTGAAAGTTTAAAAGAACCAATCAAATAAAAAATAAATGTTGAATTTTCTAATGGATTTCCAGATAAATGTTTTAATATTTGTCACATTATTAATAATGCTTTGAATTTTAGAAAAACTAAATCCCATTCAATTTGATTTCATCATCAATAATCCGTAGTAGTTTAAAGACAATATTTTGAAATTAAAATTGATGATTATATAAATTTGATATTATAATATTTTGGTCCTATTTTTTTAATTAAATTTTGAATTTCAGGTTGAAGGATTGTGTGGAAATTTTGACTCTGATATCAACAATGAATTTATTGGCCGATCTGGATTACCATTGCACAAGACAAAATTTGCAGAAGAATTTATATCTCCAGCTTGTTTCAGTCCTCAAAGAGACGAACTTGAAGCTGAACCTTGCTCTGTTAACGTTAATGTAAGTCCAATTTTCTTCATATACTCATTTAGAAAATTCAAGATATTGAAAAACTCAAGAAAAACTTATTAAAATTTACAATTTAATTTGATTAAATTATGATTTCTACTTTACGTTTACTATCACGAGTTCAAACTAAAAGTTAAAAAATTTAATTTAAGATAAAATATTATTGTAACATTCATAATTAGGCATATGGTTTTTATTGTAATTTCATTTTACTCTCATATGCAATTAAACATGACATTCCTAACCGCATTTTAATTTTCTAATTTTATCTAGTCGAAAAATTTCCTAATTCTTTATGCAAAATATATTAATCATAATTAGTTATAGTTATGATTATTCGTTTTTTCAATGTTGTCCATTCGTTGTGATGAATTCTCAACTTTAGGTATGGCCTTCATGATAAAATAATAACATGTTAAATGCAAATTTTTAAATGCTTGTAAGCCTAATAAAATAAAATTTTGTTAAATATGAATTTTCATGATGGATGGTTCATCTTGAATGAAATTAAACTGATATTAACTATATTTACAGAATGAAGACGCGGCCAATCAATACTGCTCTTTTATCAAAAATACTCCTCAACTTGAAAGCTGCTTTGAGATTGTGGGCTACCAAAAGTTCTATGATCAATGCATGAGAGATATGTGTGTCAGTGATATCTATAATCCCCGTGCTATGTGCATTGCAATTGAAGCTTACGTTAAAGAATGTGCAGATAACAATGTCGTTATTGATTGGCGAGCCAATACTACTTTGACCCGCGCATGTCGTAAGTAAACACATCACCAGAGATTTCTTAGCCATTTATTCAGTGTATATTCAAGGTACACAGAAACATCGATGCAATAAAACTTTAAATATTTTATACATTATAAAAATTAATTAAATAAATGTTGAATTTTACAAGGGATTCCCCGATATTAGCAAGGTTATTATTTTACACTTAATGATACAATATGGAAAATATTTTAATATTTTTAATACCTTCAATATTTTTAAATTTTATAAAAACTAAAATTCCGTTCCATTTGATTTCATCACCAATAAGCCTAAGTAATTTAAAAACAATAATTTCATATTAAAATTGATGATTATATAAATTTGACATGATGTCTTGGTCATAATCACTGAAGTGAATTGCAGATTAAAGGTTTATGTGGACATTTTGATTCTAATCTCGGCAATGAATTTATTGACCAATTTGCATTATCTTTGCACAAAACAAAATTTTCTAACAAATGTTTAAAATGTTTAATATAAATTATCTATTATTAAGTTTTAAAATGTTCACAAACATTGTAATTTATTAATTTTCCAGCATTGAAATGTCCTGTTGGAAGTGGCCAGACCTATACAAACTGTGGCACTTCCTGTCAGACAACATGCCACGATTTGGCGAAAGAAGATGAGGAGGAGTGTGAATCAGAATGTGTCTTTGGTTGTCAATGTCCCAATGGAACATTATTGGATAATCAAATGAAATGTGTCGAAATTGATTCCTGTTCTTGCTATGATAAATATACACGGAAGCATTATGATGTTGGAAAATCTTTACGGAGAAAAGGCAATGACTGGTAAGTTTGTGTATCTCTTATTGCAATGTGTATTCAAAAACAAATACTATACTTTATTTTAGCCTTATATTTTATTAACGTATATGTGTGAACTGAAGATGGTGAAATTCAATGAAGTTTGTTTTTTAGTCATTTAATCCCAAGCAAAGCAGAAATGCCACTAGTACGTAGGTAGTTACAGGGGGTGAAGAAGAGAGAAAAGACTGGGTACAGATGGGACCGAGGAAACGACGAAAGATGAACAGGATTCAAGACGACAGAAAATGGCGATTGACGTTGCATTTAAATTTTTGAAGATTGTAGTTTTCGGGGAAGCATGTAAAGGGAATGGAGTTTCTCAGGCAGGAAGTGTGAGAAAAGAGACAATTGGAGTAGAAGTGGTGGTTACATTTAACTGTTTCAACAGTAAAAGGATGAAACCTAGATACTAATCTAGTAACACACTTAAATTCATTTAGTCGAGGCACCAGGAAAAAAATCTGATGATCTACATTTCATCGTCGCCGCTCAGACCTTGTGCTTTCTGCAGTGAAGCAAATGGTTGCACTCTGAATGAAACTCCATGCTTTGAACGTATACTGAGTTTCGAGGTCACTCATACCTTTATTTGAACTTTTATATATACAAGCCATTTCTGGATAAATGGCCGGCGTATTCTATTCCTTCAGGAAGCACCTAACGCCTTCTGTCATGCTTTATCTTTAGAAAAGTCAGAGTAGCCTCCAAAATGGTACATCGCTACAATATCTGGGCTGAAGCTGTTCAATCGTTTATGCAGTCTTGTGGGAGATTTATTCTCCACCCTGCAAAATTTCCAACGGACACAATATCACAAGCTTATCGCTATTTCCATGCAAAATCTTCAGATCAATTCCATTCTTTAGTTAAACCCGCTCAGACCTTTATAGCGAGGACATGCCATACCACTTCCACAGAGTTGATTCACCTTCATTTCCTCTGTGTTTTCGAAATGTAAGGAGAAAATTTCACCCAGAGAGATTTTTCCCAAAATCTACTACTTTGTAGGACAAGCCCCCCGCGGATGCTCCCCTGAGCATTACAATTTTACCATCTTCAGGTCAAAGATCAATCATTATATATCACCCCTATCTTCATAATCTTCACTTTTATGCCAAATTCTCTTTCATTCATAACATACCTATTTGAACTTTTATTTAAGTAATTATCTGGCCTTTTGTTTTGGGTAAACTTTACTACTTATAAAAGTAATTTTCTTTGTATTTTGCATCCGATAATTTCATTGCGGTTTGAATTATTCTAATAGCAAATAAAGCTTTTCTGCGAATTTAACCAAAGAAGAAAAGTCCTGACTCCAAACTAAAAAAAAAAGATTTATTCTTTTTAACCATGTTTATTATTTGAAATCTAGATTTCAAAGTTTCAAAAATTATTTACTATCAAGTAATTGCTGTGGCGTTGGTAGGTTATGAAAAAACTTGATAAATTTGCATTTATTTATGTTTTATCAATGAATTTGCACAACTGTAATGTATGCATGACCTTGGTGTTTACATCCGGGATAATCTTGCGATTGCCAGGGAATTGTCTCTTAAGGCCGCCGATTACTCTTTCATGTGCTTCCGTCTTTGACTACTTTTAAACTCTATCAGCTATTTCTTTTTTCTTGATCACTCTCCCTCTTCCCAAGACTGCAGTATATTAGACACAATAGCTGACAGTATAGAAAGGGCACTTTCTCTCCATCCATCTGTGAACATCTTTGTCATCGGTGACTTTAATGCTCACCACGACACGTGACTGAAACATTCCAAAGGTACTGATGTTGCCGGTAGACAGACATTAAATTTTTCCATTGCCCAATCTCTCACTTCACTCGTGGACTTCCCTAGAAAAACCGAGCAACAGACTTCTCTATTGGATCTATTTCTTACCTCCTCTCCTAGCTCGTACTGAGCTTCGCAATAGTGCCCTTTTGGTAACTCGGACCACTTTGTGGTAGCTATTGATATCTCCTTCCAAGCATCTATTAAACAGGAACACTCTATCCATGTTGATTGGGACTGATTTTCTTCATGACGCCCCTTGGACTAACAACTTTAACCTCCCAACTGGAAATTGCGCTACCGAGGTTTCTTCTTGGGCCGGTATAGACGCTTTCATCCCCTCGGAAATACCAGGTGAAACTGCAATCCTCTCCATGGTTCACATCAGAATATTCGGTCGCCATAGCACGCAGGAATCGCTATTCCCGGCTATAGCAGCGTCGTAACAGGTGCCTATTTGCCACTGCTCGTAACAAATGTAAGCTAGTTCTCGAAAGAGCTAAGTCCCTGTTTGCTAAGAGAATGAGGCACCGCATAGCCTCTAAAACTTCGGCTCTCGTGATTACTGGCGTCTCTGTAATAAGGTACTAAATAAGTGCAGAGTCTTTATTCGCCAACTGTTCAGTCGATTTGATGTTAGGGTTAGGGTTAATGCTCTGCTGATAAAGCGGAATCCTCAGACTCTATTCTTGACTCATCTGGAGTATCTCTGCTTAACTTCCCAGTTAGAACTGATTCTCTGCTGAGTGATATGCATATAACCCCTTCCATGGTCTCTGCTATCATTTCTAACCTTGATCCCACAAAGCATGTGGACCTGATGGTATCCCTGTAATAGTCATTAAGAAGTGTGCCCCTGAACTGAGCCCTGTTCTCTCTAAACTGTATAATAAATGCCTTACTGCCTCCTGCTTTCCTGCCCGCTGAAAGTCATCGTTTTTGTTCCAGTTTTTAAGAACTCTGGTGAACCGTCCAACCCATCCATCTATCAGCTTATTAGCCTTCTACCTCTTTTTTGGAAAGTCCCTAATCAATCCTGAATTGGTTCATCATCTCTCATCGCAATCTTTTCTCATACAAGCAATACGGTTTTCGTTTCTTCAAACCAACTGCTGATGTACTAACGATAATTGCAGAAAGAGCCTATCATGCTATAGATAAAAACGGTGAGGCCCAGTTTGTAGCTTTGGACATCTCAAAAGCCTTTGACAGGGTACTGCATTCAGTTCTTCTCCACAAACTGAAAAGTTACGGTATCTCCGGGTACGTTTTTGAGATGACCAGTCGTTCCTATCAAATCATGAAATGAAAGTTGTCCTGAACAGCTACTCGTCTGCATCCTTTCGTACGAATGCAGGCGTTCAGCAGGGCTCCATCCTTGGTCCTATGCTGTTTTTAATCTTCATTAACAACCTTCCCGATGACATCAGCTCTCAATTTGGCAACTACGTTGACAACACTACCATTTACACCTTCCTCAATACTAAAGCTGATCAGTCAGGCAAGGTTAAAATGGCAGCTGATATACAAAACGACCTCAAAACCGCCCTTAACTGGAGCAAAAGATGGCTTGTCAAATTTAACGCTTCCAAAACTAAACTTCTCTCTATTAATCATCTGAGAGACCCCACTCTACCCTCCATCAGCATAGCTGATGCTATCCTCCAGGAAAGTGACTTATTGTACCATCTCGGGTTAACGATCTCAGCTGATATGAAATGGAAAGACTATATTTAATCAATTCCTAGGTCAGCTGCTAAGAAAGTCGGTTTACTTTGTTGGGTGAAACAATTCTTCTCTCCTGAATCTATATTGTATATCTATAAATCTACCATTTTTCTATGCTGGAATACTGCTGCCATTTACGGTCTGGTGTCCCCGCTATTTTTCTGGAGCTCCTTGATAAGAATTAAAGAAGAGTCAGCAATATCATCTGGCGGCTCGGCTTCAGTCACTTGCCTGTAAGGTTACCTCTCTGTGCCTTTTTTATAAATACTTTCATGCTAATTGTTTGGATGAGCTCCTCCCTATAGTACATAGACTGTATGAACTTAAACACGATACTATACTGGTGCCAAGATCTCATCAATTTACAATTGAACTAGCTAGATGTAGCCATAACCTCTATGCTAACATTATCTTATCTTGCAATTCTCACTTGTGGAACTCCCTTCCAGCTCCATCCTTTCCAACCAACTTTAATCTGGAAGAATTTAAATGCAATGCCAATCGCTATCTACTGTCCCCCTGATTGCTCTTTCCTCTTTCTACTCATTACAAATGTTTCTGTTCCTAATTCCTTCACACCCTGTAAACCCTTGCATACTAGTCACTGTACTACTTTGCTTGGGGTGACACATTTAAAAAAAAAATTTAACATTCAAAAATATTAATCTTCAAGATTTCTCACTTCCATGAACATTTCTCTTTTAGTGTATGTATTGGGGGGAAGTGGTCTTGTAAAGAAGCTGCAGAGGAAGTGATTTGTCCCAAGAATCAAATTTGGCTTACAAATGCTACTGGGTGCCAGGAAACATGTGTAACCTTAGCAAAACCAGAAAACTGTGTTCTTTTCAACAGTGAATATGAGGGTTGCAGATGTCCAGAAGGACTTGTTTTGTCACCAAATGTAAGCTATTTACCTATTTATTCATCTTCTCTTTAATAGATAAATGTTTGTGTAAATATCTATATGTGCATGTTTTTAAATGCTTCAACATTAAAATATCTTATCAATTTAAAAATAATATCAGTGAAGGAAATAGGTTAAAACTCTGCAAAATGGAACAGCAACTGTATCTATTTGTGCTACATATTAAGCAAGACATTAGTAACAAACCACTATTAATCCTATTGGTATCACAAGCTATGCTAAAGAGATCCTTTCGTTAATGATATAAAGCAATTCTTCTTGCCTAAGAAAACTTTTCCTTATCTCTAATTTTTCTCTTTCTCTCTCTTTTAATCTTGGCTTTCTTTGGCAAATGACAGTTATGGAATTTTCCTTACTAAGTTTGCTTCCTTTACTTGAATCATTATATATTTTTGAGATAACTTTCAGATATTCTTCCTTCTATAATAGGGTTCATGTATTAACCCTGTATCTTGTCCATGTCCATATGGAGATTCATGGATGCAACCAAATAGCACATTGAAGATTGGATGTAAGCAATTGTAAGTTGAAATCAACTACTTTTTTTCCGCAGAACATTTTGAATTAAAATTAAAAGTTGCATAGGCGTTTTTTCTATTTTATTAAAAGCATCAGTAACTTGTAGCTTCAAGATAAGAGTTACAATACATTTGGTTAAAATGTTATAATCAAATTAGTACTGTTGTTTGCAAAAACTTCCACCTTAATGATAAGCATCCCAAAAGAAAATAGGTAAAAATATGACAAAATGAATGCATCCTTAAAATTTATAATCACAAATTCTAAATTTCTTAACAAAACTGATTAGAAGTAAACATAATATTTTGAAACTTTATTCCAATGTTACACAAGCTATTATAATGAATGGGGGTTATTTTCTTTAAATAAGTTTAAGTAAATTAAGTAACCCAAAATAATTTTACAGTTCCTCAATAGTTAATTTTGTGTTGCTCTTTTGAAATAGCAAAATATCATCTTAATATTTACTATCACTATGTGTCTCAACAGAGAGTATTGCTTAACAAGTCAGTCTCATTGACACTTATTATTTTAGAAAATTCAATCCCTACTTAGTGCTTTGTACTTGTAACCTTATACAAAACTAACCTAAGCTTAATAAATAACTTTAACTATTATCAGTAACTTTAATCTAGGATGAACTATCAATTTTTTAATTTTCATTTTCCTTTTAATGGATGTTGATTTTTAATGGACATTGATGTTTTATGATGTCTTTTCCTATTAATGATTGTTTTTATTTCAATAATTACTGGAACAAAATCTTATATGCAGCTTCATAACATTGGATTTGTTTAAAAACTGACTATTTTCCTAAACAAGATGGATGATAAAAATGAAATATTCTTTATTGGCAACACTTTTCTCAATGATCATCTGGTTTTTAATTTTTAATCAAAGTTGATTTTAAAATCATTTTCTTTAAAAAAGAATATAATAGAAATTTATAATTTATTGCATATAATAATATTTCATTTTTTATTAAAACTTTTTACATTTTTGTTCCAGAAAATGTGTTGATGCAACTTGGATAGATTTAAGACAAAATAATAATTGTCCAGGTAATATATTTTTCTGTCATATTTTATCTTTTGTTAAAATCATTTTCTCTTATTTAATAGAAAATATTTGTTTTCTGTTTAAGCATAAATTCAAATGTATTTAAAAGCACTAAAATATAAATAGCATTGATAACAGTGAAATTCAATGACACTTACTCAAAATCACTCCTTCGCTTCATCTGCAACAATATGGCTACACTGAAAATTTATTTCAGAAAAATCTTCCTTTAACTGATTTTGTTTCTTGTCCAATTATTTTCATTTTTTCTACATTTTAACTCTGTAGTTATAAATTTATATTCAGAAATCAGAATTAAAATGTTATCAAAATTTAATTAAAAAGCATTTCTTAAATTAAAAAATATTCTTTCTTTATAAAACTTTGTTGATGAAAATCTAGTTTGCATTTCTTTTCAATTCTTTTTTAATTAAGTAGTAACTTAATTAAACAGTACCACATTTAGTAAAGGAACATCAAATCAAACATTATTTCATGTATTTTTATCTTAATAAAAAGCTATATACAAAAATGAATTAGCAAAAAGCTCACCAAAAATATCTCTCTACATATATTTTACAATATTTGTTTCCTTAAATCTCTAATTAGGAAAATTATTTTTTATTCTAATTATGCTCAAAACTAAATATATAGAACTCTTAAAGCAATGGAATTGCAATAATTTAGAAGTAAATTTTATTCTTCACAATTGCTTTGATAACACAAAATAATTAAGATTTTCGTTATGTTGATTTGCTAAGTTAAGAAATAAGACCAACATTAAGCATTTTATGGTATCCTCATGTATTATACATCTCTTCTTTTTCTAGCAACCTGCTGGGCTTCAGGAGACCCACATTATAGTACTTTTGATGGCATTCACTATTCTTTTGAGGGAGATTGTGAATACACTTTGTCAGAGGCAACTGATGGCACATTTGCTATTACTGTTCGAAATATCAAATGCGGTTTTCCTGCTGTAACTTGTACCAAAGATGTCAACGTTCACCTCATGGGGCATACTATCCATTTTTTGATGGATAACATTCCAACTATTGATGGACTTCAAATTTCTGATCGGGGCATGACAGCCACAGGATTTTCCATCAAGAAAACTGATTTCTTTTATTCCCTTTTCACAAATATTGGTCTAACTATTCAGTGGGATAAAGGTAAATGTCCTTTCATAAAAATAATTTCTACTACCTTTGGCTTTTATATTTTTCATAAATATCTATATATTTCTACTATTAATTAATTTTAGCTCTCTATGCTATAGATGTAATGTACTGAAGCAAACTAATTATCTCTATTTTAGATGTTTATAAATTATAGAGCCCAAATATATAAGAAGACTGTTTTACAAGTACATCTCAGTTTGCAATAATATTAGAATTTTATAAAATAAACATTAAAAAATTAAATATATTTAAGCAAATTATTTTCTTACTCTTAGCCTTCTAGTTTGAATTCTTAAATGCGAATTTCTATTTCCTTGAAATCAAATACTGACTTTTTAAAGGTCAGACTGATATTCTGGTTTAAGGTCTCATATTGTAAAGTTACATTAACTCTGATTGCATTTTCAGCTACACGTGTATATGTTCATTTAACTGAAAAATGGAAGGGCAAAGTCCGAGGTCTTTGTGGAAATTATGATGAAGACTCTACAAATGAATTTATATCAAGATCTAATTCATTAGAGCGAGTACCTTCTGCCTTCGCTAACAGCTGGAAGGTTTATAACTGTCCCTTGGTTCCTCAAGATAAACCTGAAAATAGTATACATCCATGCACTGTAAGTATTTTGTGCAAAAGATTTTGAATTACAAAATTGTTAATATGAATTTTTTATATAATTAATTTTTGACATTTACTTCTTAACTTTCATTTCTTGTTGAATGTCAATAAAAGTGGAAATAAAAATACTTTACTATTAAACCTATTGCCACAAGCAGACATTTGTCTTCATTTATCCTTAAAAACATCTGATAATTTTTAATTCTTCTATTTTATTATGGCAATTCTTAAAAACATATTGCTCTGAATGTTTCTTCCTTCTGATCCTGGTAACAATTTTGCAAATGTTATTTTATAAACAAAAAATAACTAAGGACTGCAAAGGAAACAAAATAATTTCCTGTAATATTTTATTCAATAATTTTTTAATGAAAATAAAATCTTCCAACCTATTAAGTAAAGAATAAAAATTGAGTCAATGCTAATCTATATAGTAGTAATAGTAGTAGTAGTAAAAAAGAAAAGTAGCCTTCAAAGTGAAATTAAAAGACTGTGAAAGCTGGGTAAAGATTTAAAAATTACAAAAATTGAAATATACCTGGGTAAAGTCAAAAAAGCCTCACAAAAAATAGAAATTAGAAATGAAATCATTCAGAAGAGTAACATTATCAAATTCAGCTAGAAGAATGAAGAGTCTATGAAAAAGATGAACCAAAGTAATTTTATAAGAATTATTTAAAAGAAAGAAGCTTGTCAAATATATTATTTTGGTCAAGCTAAAATATTAACAAAAGCCTTCTTAGATAATACAAACAGCTTACTTTGGAAGAGTAATTCTTCTGTAATGGTCTTTATATTATGTGACAATCTTAAACATTTCACAATTTGTAATATAGATTGCTATATACTAATATTCATAAGTACTTGACAAAATAAAAATTCTATTGTCACTCTCTCAGATACAAGAAATAATGTGTCTAGAAATCCTAGAGCCACCAAAAGATGAGTGACAACTAAAATATGCATTTTTTTCATAAAAGAAAGTAAAATCTTCAGAAACTATTTCAAGAGTTCAGAACTGTTACCAATAAGCTATTTTTTCAGAAGAACCATCATATAAATAAAGGTTTAATCTGTAAAATTTCCCATGCAATTATATTAGAACTGAAATTACATAAAAATATATTTAAATATGCATCCAAGGTCTATTTAACAAAAAAGAATTATAGAATAATAGTTTTAATATTTTCTTGAGACATTCATAAGATATCAACATATATTTCTAATTTTAGTACAACTCTGTCAGAAAACAGTGGGCAATGGAAAGTTGTGGTGTCATCAAATCAGGACCATTATTTGCACTTTGCCGTAATGTACTTCCAGATAATATTGTATTAGAATATTATGAAGATTGTTTGTTTGATGCTTGTGGGTAAGACCATTTTTTAAAACTTTTTCTTCAAATTTATTACCTTCTGACTTTAATCGACATTCTCTCAATTCATGTTTTTACAGCTGTTTTCATTTTATTATTGGTGGACAAAATATTTTCTTTTATAAAAGATTATATGTTAAAGATGTTTTATTCATTTAAATGTCAATCAAATTTTTTTTAAATTTCTTTTCTAATCTCCTTCAAAAATTTCTGCTGTAAAATATACTTGACCCTTTATAATTCATTTTTCAAATTGTTTTTCATTTTTTATTTGATAACTTTAAATACAATATTTTCAATTCCAACTTTTGATAGCATCTTTGAATTTCCTTTTTTAGTTGTAGCCTTGGTGGCGACTGTGAATGTTTGTGTTCAGCAGTTGCAAATTTTGCGACCAAATGTGCAATAAATGGAATTCCTATCAACTGGCGGTCAAGTGAACTTTGTGGTATGCAAAGATGTATTTTTTCATGCATGATGTGCAAAAGTAACTTTAAATTGTATTTTGAAAGGTTATTATATGAAGATAAATACATGAAGAAATTGACTATGTATTCAAGGTAAAGAATAAATAAATAAATTGCCATTATAACTCTTACAAATAAGAAAATGAATGGATAGCTCTAATTTTACTACTTGTTAAAATTTGTTTGTTTTGTGTGATTTCTGCAAAATACAAAAATCACGCACAAAACTGAATTTGAGTTTTTGTGCTAATTTACAGATTGTAAGTTCTGGTAAAATAAACATTTTTATAATTTTCTTAAATTTTAGTATTCAAAATTTTATTCAAACAATTGAATTTCTTTTTGTGTTCATAATGTTGTTAGTACAATAATTTAGAGGATTCCTTTTTCAGCTTTTATCCAATGCATAACAAAGAAAGAGACTGATTATTTATCCAGAAATATAGCAATAAAAAAGCTGATCATTAATATATATTTAGTTCATTCCAACAATACTAGATGCACAAACAAAAAATGTAATCCAAATTGCACCAGGGATTCCAAACTATACATAGGAAATTCTCCAAAACTTTCTTTGCCAAGCATAATCCTGAAATCTATTCTAGATCAACATGACCTTGGCTAACAAACCAATATATGCCATCACTTTTAACTTTCTCACTTTCTAACAGTGCTTCCTGTCAATTTTTTGAACCTTGCCACAAAGTGAGTAATGTCTATGCTAGTCTCCTCAGGTTGATATTTTCATCGTCACTTTTTCTGTTGCCATTTTTATGACAGAAAAAAACCTTTTTCCTCTTTTCTAACAGATTATACACCTGACAAAGCCTAAATAATAAATGAACTGAAGCGTCTTAGCATTATCGAACACACAAAGAAGGAATTGAAATGCCCAAACTAAATTTGGAATGATACTGACTCTTCCTAAAGATATACATAAAATATGAAGGAATTTTTCTTTTTTTTAATATTTTACACAGTGGAAAAATTTAATGAATTGAACTTATAAAAATAGTTTTAATTTTAAAACTATGGTAGTTATGTGGATGTATATGGGAAAGAAAGAGAGAAAGTTTGTAATTATATATATAAATATCATAAATATATAGAAGTTATGGATATTTTGTATCTATATGCCGTAGCTATATGAGAAAGGAAGGTATGTTGTTTTTCAATGTAGCAAGGACAGATTAGCCATCTAAGGTTACCAGCTAGTCATGCAAATATTGTATTTTGTCTCTGAATATGTTATGATGACCACAGCATTAGAAAATAGAAACATTTAATTTATCAACTCTGGTTTTGGTTAATTTTCCATTTGTTTATATACACATCTATAGATCCAATTCAGAAAAGGCACTCTGTTCCTCATTAGCTATATTTCTCATCAGCCTATATCCTGGCTGTGAAAGTTTTCTGGTTTTGTTGGTTAAACTATGGCTTTATTTACCTGGTGATTTTTATTATCCATCTATTTCTAGAGATGATGAAATTTTGATCTTCTTGTTATTTATTTATTTCTCTATCACCAAAAAACTAACTATACTCTTCCAGCTAATGACTAAAATTGTTCTCAATTCAGAAAATATAGAGAGGAAAAGATAACCATACTTCATCAACATTTATGAAAAGATCATAATGTTTACCAGTAAGCTAAAACATATTTATGGGTTCAGTATACCAATTCATAAGTGAATGAGAACTATTTCTGTAAAGATCATTGTTTTCACAAATAATCTTGAGTAACTGAATACTGGAATTAAATACAATTATCAGTCAAAATTTGAAGTTCTGTTTCTATAATCCAATAACAGTAAAGCTAAATAATCAACATTTATCTAGACATGATGCAGTTTTCTCAGAATATTAGTTGTCATAAGTTTTAATAAGATAATAAAATAGAAATATCTTTTATTTTTTTCTTTATATGGGCATCTCATTAAAGGTAGTTAATTACATAAACTGTTTTACATATTTTAAAATGAGAATCCAAATCCAAACTGCAAGATACAAAGCATCCATTAATTTTTCTTTAAATATAAAATTTCTTAAAATAAATTTATTGAAATATTCATCTTATTCTAGGTGTTATGTGCACTGGTGGACGAGAATTTCGAGAATGTGGACCTGCCAATCCAAAGACATGCCGTGACTCTTCAGATTCTCTGCAAGTTAATAATAGTACTCTTTGTATGGAAGGCTGTTACTGTCCAGAGGGCAAAGTTGAAGATGGTAATTTTGAAGTGTTATTTTTTAAATTATTTTGACAGGATTAATAGAAAACCCTATTAAGTTTTCAGTCATCTCTTTATCTTCAGAAAATATTAAAATGTTGAATGCCTGTATATTGCTAAAGGTTCTTTTAATACCTTTTCCTGGTAGACTACAACAGAGCTTCTCTTCCCCAATGGCAACCAAAATTAAGCCAATAAGTAAGCATTAATTTGAAACATAGAAGCTATTCTTTCTTGTAATTTTATCATTAGGCAAATGTTTTCAGGTAGTTATATATTTTATACACTTCAAACAAAAGATAAATATTAAAGTTTAGCTAATCTAATTAACAGAAAGTAAGTGTCCAATTTAGGATTATACATACATTGAATGAAATCCCTAAATAAAAACTTCAAAAGTTTTGAAATTTTCAAAATCATGTGTTTTAAGTTCTATTAGCATTCACAGAAAATTTAGCAGCTATCCTCTAGCCATTCTTTAGTGATACAATGACAAGAAAAACTTTTAATGAATTATAATAAAATGTATTATTATTGTGATCTGTGCAACACTGAATGAAAACTCAAAATACTGAAAACTTTATTTTGATTTTACAATGAATGTGCAACTTAATCCCTGAAAGTATTTGCTGATTTTGATTATGTTATATTTCATGCTAATAGGAATATATACTTGACAAACATGATGGATAAAATAAGTAAAGATTTATTGTAACAACCAGTACAATAAGAAATAAGGTAACTGAAATAAGGTTACAGATACTTATAGGTAGTTACTACTCATGGGGGTGACAGGTTATTCCATTACATCAGATTATTTTCTTTTTATTTGTAGATCTAAAGCTAATCATTCTTCTCATATGACGATTAGATTTATATTTAATTATCTAAAGCTTATGACTAAATCATCTGGCATATTTTCTTTTATTTGAAAAATAAACTATAAATTGTGTCATTGTTCATGAAATTTCTTGTGAATATAAAATTCTCTTTTAGAAATAATGTTCTTCATTTTTGAACAAATTTACAAGTTTATAAAAATACTTTTTTCAGGTGATAAATGTATTTCAATGGAAGAATGTCCATGTCTTGATAATGGCAAAGTTTACCCTTCTGGAACATTTATTGTAATGAACAATTGCAAAAACTGGTAAGCATTATTTGCATTAGGATTGTTAGGACTTCAGTGAGTTTTCTATTAACATTTCAAATTTACTTTTTCATTGGTTTATAGCCATAATAATTTGATTCAAAAGTTTCTATTCAGGGAATAAAGTTTATTTTTGGTTTAAGAATAGTTTTTGCTTTATCTGATTCTGTAATATTTCAAGGATTTCACATCATCATAACCTGTAAAGTTTTCAATAGCTACAAATAACTACATTCAGATCCACAATTATTTCTATGCATTAATCTCTAGAATAATTTGAAACATAGCTGTTACCACCTGCCCAATAACCATCAGGATAATATAATATCCTTCTATTCATAATGCACCATTGACTAGTATTTATAAATAGTCAAAACCCAAAAAAAACATATGGCCTGAAAATTGTGAAGTATGAAACAGACTGTTGCTGATGGGTGTAGACATCACTGTCCATTTTTATATTTACATACTTTATCCCTGATATTAAGCACTACTTTAACCCATAAATATCACATACCTTAAGACTATATTTTTTATCACACACAAACTATATACACACATGCACACACACACACATGCATTTATATATATATATATATATATATATATATATATATATATATGAGTGGGCACTGAGGCAAACATCAAGTGGTAACAGTCTGTTACAGTCCTGAATATTGCTTTCAAGAAACTGTCACCACTTGGCATTGACCTCAGCAGTATTCACTCTTATATTTACAGATACTCTAGCTCTGATATTGATTACCTTTGTACATATATGCAGTATACCTTAAAACAATATTTTCATCATATATATATATATATATATATATTATGAAATGGACAAAGTCCGACAATTATTTTAAGACATTTTTATGTTTATACATTCTTTTTATAGATAAAAATATTTAAGTAAATGCTCTGGTTATAATAAACAGTGTTAATAACATTTACTGGCCTGAATGTTCAAGAAATTTTCATAGAAAATATTCGTCCTCTGACAGGAATATACCTGTATCCTATACAGAACCGTCATATAGCCTGACATGCCTTAACCGATTGAGCCACAGAGGATCGTTCGATTAGCAAGGTCGATTTTACTGCTTTTAAACTACAATCTTCCATGAATATTTCATGTACATTCATATCTGTTCAAAGCATATCCAGATGTAAACAAATGACGTCACACATTATGAAATGGTAAAAGTCTGACAATTATTTTAAGACATTTTTATGTTTATACATTCTTTTTATAGATACAAATATTTAAATAAATGCTCTGTTTATTATAAACAAAGCATTTACTTAAATATTTGAATCTATAAACATAAAAATGTCTTAAAATATATATATATATATATATATATATATATATATATATATATGCTAGCAGCATGGCCCGGCGTTGCCCGGCGTTGCCCGCGCTTGATTCAAAAATCGTACGACTCATACAGCAATCGCTATTACTTGACTTAAAATATTTTTGCCCTTCCTTGCCTTTAAAGGAGTGCCTTTGCCGTGCTGATGTTGCTACATGCCTTACTTCTTGCCTATCTCACACTGCAAATTTTTTCTAAGCTCTATACTAAACATTAAATCTGCTACAAAAAAGAACTAAACAAAATGAACACAAAACGATCAGCTTTAAAAAAGGACTCATAACTGGAAAAACCAAATGAAAAAGGAATGTTAACAACAAATACTTTTTCACACCCAACCCAGTTCTGCGGAATCAAAATCAACATTGAGTTTAAGCAAGTGAATGAGCCAATTGGAGTAAAGTGCTATGTAGATTTAAATTTTTCCCACTTGTGACGAATACAGCTATCGATTTTTTTGCATGCTAGCATGCTAGTTAACATTCGTGTCAGTCAGCTGTTGGCTCTCATGCTGGCCAATAGAATCTTCCTGCCTATTCGTGGCAGCCAGCTATAAGCTCTCACTCTGGACAGTACAAAATGGCTGCAAACTACATGAAAACTGCCATAGAAGCATGAAAAAATTGATTATTTCCACTATTGATGGGAGTTGCGAAATGCAAGATTGGTCTTGTCCTTTCCGCTAACTTGGAGCATGTGCATGTAAATTTTGTGCAAATCCATCGAAAATTGCGTCCGTGCATTCGTTATACACACACACACATCCTGCCTTTTATAGATAGATATATATATATATAACAGAAAGTGAGAGATATGTAAGGGGTGGGGTTCTTCATATATGGTAATTGTTATGGTAATTTGCCCATGCACACATGGACTCTCCCAGCTATAAATAGGAGTAGGTACTGCCTTTTGGAGAGGGAAGTTACCAGCAGTCAGCTCCGACAGTCGGACCGAACATTCTTGCTGTAAGACTCTCATTTGTATATGTTTGTATTACTGTTTCTGTTAATATATTAGTTTAACTCAATTCCTCTCTTTGTGTATTTATTTCTGGCCCCTAACAAGGCCACAACAGTAATAGTCAATAAAAAATAAACTATTCTTTACTTACATCAAGTATACTTGACAAAATATTTTTCCTGTAAATAATTATATTTTATTTTGATGCGTATTACTTTGATTCTTTAAATGAATGTTCTTTATGATACTTACATTTAATTGTTGAGAACCTGTATTCTCAGCTTTCTTCTCAGAAAAAAAACTAACAGCTTTGCTCAGCTTGATTTGAATTTACACAGCTCAAAAGACTTAGCATTCTGAAGAAATGTTTGCTCACAAAATATTGCATAAACAGTAAAGACATTCATTGACTGAAAAAGTTTGAAAAAGTAAAGCTCAAAATGCATAGCTAACAAAAATTTAACCAGTATTCTTTTGATTATTCAAATAGAGAGTATCTGTAAAAATACGTGTTCATTATTAAAATAAAGATATGGAATAAAATCCATATCTATATTCTGCTAAACAATTCTTTTGGGATATTTACTCATGTTATTTCATGGGGAATCATGGCTTTCAATAATTTTCTATCTTATATTTATTTTATAGTGCTTAGTAATGTTTATCTTTTTAGCATTCCCCCTCACTTCCTGTTCTGCCATCCATTCACATAAGCTCATAAGGTAGATGGCCCACTGTTCTCCCCTATCCCTTTTACCTTTGAGATGTCATGTGTGCATAAAATTCTCCAATCCCATGTATAAGTGTCATTTTTGTTTCCATTTTCCTTGTTGCATATACACCCCATTGATGAAATTCTCAGCATCCTTCTGTAGAAACACATTTATGTGTTCCCTTTATCGATAAGGAGATTGTCTAGCATTCACTGCCATACAAGAGATATTACATAACAGTTCAGTACTCTTTTCTTTGTTTCTGATGAAATCTTCCTATTTCTTGGTACTTTTCTTGGAAATCATCTTTAACTGTTTTAATGGGCCTTCAGATTTCAGTGTCACATTTTCCATCCTCTTTTAAAACACTTTCCAAACACTTGTTTGATTTCACACTCTTTTTCTAAAAGACAATACTAAAATTGTTATTGAAAAACAAAGAATTAGATATAATTAATAAATTATCAAACTACAATTCCATTATCTTTCAATTTTAATCAAAATTTTTTAATTTGATTAGTTCATCTTTGATTTATTGTTTCTTTTTTAAGTAAATGAATGAAATGTTCAAATATATGATATAAGAAAAATAATTCAGACATTGTTAATCAGAAAGGATATATCTCTTCTTATAAGATTTCTTTTATATTTTTTGCTTTATAAAATACTTATGTTACTTAGAAATATTTTACAAAGACTAATGAATTAACTTCAGATGTCTGAAATATTATTATGATTTAAACTTTTTATAATATTACATTGAAAAACTCTAAATTGACCTTAAAATGGTATTAAACTATAACTTACTAATTTTCATAATTTTTTTGTAATTGCTTTATAAATATTTCAGTTTGAATAAATTTATTTTAACAGTACTTGCAAAGCTGGAAATATGTCATGTGTTACCTGTGAATGTGAACCTGATGAATTTCAATGTGATGATGGAAATTGCATAAATTCTACTAAAAAGTGTGATGGAATTTATGATTGTAATTCAGGAATTGATGAATACAATTGCTGTAAGTGTTAATGTGCATTTGAATGAAAAAGGTCTTTTCATCATTTAATCCCAATTATTTACAGTCAAGTTACTCAGTGCTTCAAAATGAATTACAAAATCTATAAAATAAAATTTGTTGAATTCATTAATAATTAATTGCAACCAAATAAGAGTGTCTCTAATTACTCAAACTCAATCAAACAAAAATGATTTGAAGAAAATTTGAATTGATTGTCTTTATTCATAAAAAGTGTAACTGTTTAATAAGTTTTAACATGTGAGAACAATTATCAATAAAAGGTATATTTATATTCATTTGATCTCATTTGAAATTTACTTCATATCATGTGATACTGTTTTTATTTTAGTAATGACTACACCTCATATCACAACATATGTTACCTCAACTCTTACTCCAAGTGGCATGACTACAACAGTTTTACCCCAAACATCGACACCTGTTACTTTCTTTACAACACCATCTATACTAAGTAAGTATTTATTTAAATGCATTTTCATTGCAGAATAGATTTATAACATTGGAGAAAATCTATTTAGTTATTATTTGTGATTAAAATATAAAGGAATTTTGATTTGCAGCTTTTCATATATTTATCTAATAATGGAATATGACATTCAACATTGAAAACATGAAATGTTGAGCCAGTTTCTAATGTTTTTACAATTCTGTTGTATACAACTTAAATGAAACAATATTTACAGATCCATCAACTGAAAGTCAAAATCTTTTAACTTGTAGTCTGTAAAATTATGAATAAATTTAAATATACTTTTTGCTTTTGTTTATATTTTTATATCACAGTACATTTTATATTCAGTATATCTATCATGTTACATAAGCAAAAACTAAAAAAAAACATTGTTTTAATTTTTTATTCACATTTTCCATAGAAGACATTTTTGATCATTTTTCTCTTAGTGAAGTCTATGAATTTACTGACTATATTTATATTTAAGAAAACTGTAGATAAGTTTGTTTACTTGGGATCCACCATAATATTGACCCTATCTTTGGATGAGGAATTGAGAAGCAGAATAGGAAAGGCCACAGATGCATTCAAGAAAATTATAAAAATAGTATATCTTAGGATAAAAAACAAAACTCTAATTTGCCAAGCATTTGTCCTCTCAATACTCCTTAACAGGAGTGAGATGAGGATCTTGTACACTGGTCAGGAAAGGAGGTTAAATAGTTTTTACATGAGTTGTTTAAGAAATATTTTTAAAATTAAATGGCAAGATAGGCTTCCAGATAGACAAGTGCTCAAAAGAGTTGGCATTCAGTCACTACATCCCATCCTACAGTCTCGGCATCTCAGGTGGCTTGGGCATGTTGTGCACATGGATAATTCCAGAATTTGCAAACAGATACTGTATGAGGAGCTTTCTGAGGGCACATGTAATGTTAGCCAACTCAGGCTTCACTTCAAGGACCAGTATAAAATGTCTATGTTGGAATTTTCTATCAATGTTGCAAAAGTGGGATGCAGTTGCTCAGGATCAAGTTAGACAGGAGCAAAGAGCTATGAAAAGAATAGGGTCTAGCATGCCATAGAGGCTGAACAAAGACACAAATGCTCCATTGTAGATGACTCCACAGTATTCTACTACTGTGGTCATTGTTAAAAACCGTATCAATTGCACATTTGTTGTTTTAGCCATGAGCAGTGTTGTGTTTTTTCTGCTGCTGACTGTCATCATCAACAAAAAATATATATAATGGATGTTTCCCATTCTTAAAACCAATATCCAAATGGATGATTCTTTAACTCAGAAGCAAAATACCATATTTTAATAGAGCAGAAGTACTGAAATATTTTTGGTAGCTAAAACCTTCTAGAATAGATAAAGTAAATGTGGGGAAATAGACAATTTGAATTTTTATAGTTTCATGCTGGACTTATAGAATTCTAAGCAAAACCACACAAAGACTTCTTAAAAAATGTTGAATCACACATTTATAGATTAAAGCAAAAAATATAATTAAGCAAGAATTTAAAGCACAAAAGATATAATCAGCACATTGTGTTTAAACTCTGCCTAAATTTGTTTATTTTCAATTCACATTTATTTATTGGTACATAGTCTATTAATCACATAAATTGAACATTATACAGTAAAAATTTCAGATCAAATTTCAACTAACAAAGTCATCAGGTTACAGGCTTATGATCCATTCTTCTACTGTTATGAAAAACATAAGACTTCTTTTTCTATAGTCAAATATGTTTCATCCTTGGTATGTCACAGAATTTGGGGAAAGAAAAAATACAGGAGTAAACCCTTTTGCAAAATAGTTTGCTATAAATAACTGCCCCAAAAATTAATATAAAAATGCTGATACCTTTATTTCAAATGGTTTTACCATTTTAATTTCTTAAAAACATTATTTCACCAAATTAAAAACTTATATTACTTCTTGTTCGATTATTTTATAAAATGGTCTTAAAATGGCTCAGAAAAATTAGATTACCTAACATCATCTCTATATGGAATAATTTATAGAACTATTTACTCATCTTTAGTGTAAGAATTAAAAGGTGCTCAATCTGATTTCAATAATATACATACACATATATATATATATATATATATATATACACAAGTATATAATTAGTGTATACGGAATGAATTCCAATAACCAACAATTTTCGTTTTAATATATTAAATAATATTATTTTTAACCATTTCTATCTTTGTATATTCATTATATTTTAATAAGTGGCTCGCATTTGTTTAATGACACTTTCAGTCTTAAATATTTATTGGTTGTGGTATCTGATTGTCTAGGTCAATGTCTGTGGATGTGTGTACATGTATTTATTGGTGTCTATGTGTATGGAATGTGCATTCACTTTTAATTGTGTGTGTGTGTAGGTGTTGATCCCCACCTTTTTTTTTCATAAAGGGCCGTGGAGATGTTCCCTGTCTCGTCACTTTTTTGTGTGTATATATATCTAAATATGTCTGGGTGCTTATGTATTATAATCTGATTGTGTTTGTGTTGTTTTGCACGTGAGTTTAAGACCCCATTCACACACTTGGGATTAAAATGTATATACATATATTGTCAGATGACTGGATATTGTAGCGTCTGTTCTAACGTAATTTCAATGAAGAAATAAATTGAATAACATATGTATTTTTTCTTTTCTCCTCAGTAATTTTATAGTTTTTAAACTTAATAGTGATTAAATTTGGATTTTAAAATTGGCAGTTTTTAATTTTAATATCAAATTTTATTATATAATTTAATAATTATTGGTTAGAATAAATTCTTTTTTAATATTACCCATATTTTTAAAAATCTGAATAGCTATTATAACATGATTTTGTTGTCAAGTTTTTGAATCTTCCTATACTTGGGTTTTGATTGGTCATTCTAGCTTTTGTAACAACGTTTTCCCCTTTGCGAAGGATAGTTAATTAATTTGAAACTTTTAAAACCATTTATTTTACATTCAACATCATCACTTGATAAGACACCAAGGGTGTTGAAACAAAATGGCTATTTTTGTAGTGATTTCATAACATATTTATGTTATAAATTTTTTTTTTAAATATAATTATATATATATATATATATATATATATATATATATATATATATATCACTTTAAATATCATTTTTAGTGGATACTCATATTTGAGTAGGCACTCCATTTATTTATTAAACTGTATATTTATTTATTTTCACCTATCGATCTGAATGTTCAAGAAATCTTATTAAAGAAAGAGTCTCAGTCTCCAATAGGAATCAAACTTGCATCCCTCAGGGCAGAAGGAGCTGCCATTTAGTCCAGTACACCTTACTGACTTGGCCACAGAGAACAGTCATTAAGGCAAGACTAAATTTTATGGTTTCAAACAAAACTTTCTCCTGTCATAGATCTCCCTAAGTTTTTCATATCTGCACAGTTTCGTATAGAAACATAAACAAAGAGAATTTTACAATGGATTTTTTATTAATCCAACAGACTTTTCTTACTTTAAACATTATTTTTTTTAAATTAAGGGCTAAAGTCCCAGGCTAAAGGGTAGCTACCTCTGCCCTGAGGGATACAAATTAGATTCCTGCTGGAGAGCACAATTTTTTTCTTTAATAAAATTTCATGAGTATTTTGGTCTTTAAACAAAAATAAATAAATATACTATTTAATAAAAAAGTGGAGAGTCTATTCAAATATAAGTATCCTTTAAAAATAACATTTAAAGTGATACAGATCTGTCAGAAAAAACATTCTAATATATATATATATATATATATATATATATATATATAATGGATAAAATGTAATTTTACGGTATTATATATATTTATAGGTAAAAGTGCTCAATATCAGGGATAGAGCATGTGCAAATATAAGAGTTGACACTGAGGTAGCAGTCTGTTTCATACTTGAATGCAATCTTCAGGTAATTTATGCTGGCTGGTAGCTCAACTATTTATATCTGCTAGCCAAGTAACAAGATCAGTTACTTCTAGTTTATTATGTTATGCTAACAATTATGGGATAGAGAGGAACAGTTAGATTTTAAATTATCATAATGGTTATTGAGTAGAAATAATTATGGACCAGAACATGGTTATTTTATAGCTATTGTTGTTTACTAACTTTTAATTCATTATTTATTATTGATTACTTAGTGTATTGCATATTTGTTCATTAATTATTCACTATTGATTATTATTAAATTTACTTAGTTCTAGTTACACAAACATTCATACAATCTGTTAATTTCTTTATTATTGATTGGCTTAGTTTGTTTATTTCTTTATTATTTCATTTATTTATTTCTCTTGGGGGTTAGTTATCTTATTTGTTTGTTTAGTTTAAAGTATTAGCTTTGTTTAAAGTATACTGCATTATCTGTGTTGCATACAGTGTATACAGCAGATATATTTGCATTTTGCTTTGTGATGTTTTACAAGGTATTCAATTTTAGTCTTTGATTTTTAAGTAATGCAGTAAAAAATTTTTTCATGTCTACATTTTGAAATGTTCTGATCATTTATTTAGTAAATTTATGTTGGTCTAAGAAGGTGATTTTACCTATTTTGTCCTCCAAAAAAAGTTTACAGTTTTGGGGATTTATTGTTGTAGGCTAAGACTGTTTTCTTTATTTTCCATATCTTTGGCCTAATTTGGTTTTTATTTTTAAGTTCTCATATATGTTTAGATAGATTTTCCACTATCTTTAGTGATGAGTAATATGTACAACTTCCACTCAAGGTCTGTGTTGAGCTTAAGTCCCAATAGGTAATCAGCCATGTAGCTACTCTGAGACAACACCAATTCATGGTGGTAGGTGAAAATTCAGTGTCCACTCAGTGATGACGGAACATCACTAGTTTGGTTTACGAGATATTGAATGTGACCAGTAAGTTTTTTCCCCCACTGAGCTGTTAGAGCTAAATCAGAGGAAAGATCAGCTGCCAGGCTCTGGCCATCTAGAGTTTTGGAGGGGCACCT